GTTGACAAGATGCTTGGATTTCTAGGGCACATTTTAACTTGCATGAGATGAAGAAAGGGAGCTCTTATACAAAGCAGTCTTTTCTGAGTTTGTCAGCCATGTTGGGAATTCATGCTCTCAGGCAACATCAACCTTCTTGTATTGAGCAAGCCTGAGCTTTTGTCCTTTTATCAAGATGTCACAACATACGGTGCGAAAACCACAGAAGTGCCCTTTAGGGCTGGAAAACCCAGTAATAAGTATGGGCCTGAGGCTTTTTATGGCATGCATTATTTTGCAATTGTTTTTGTCTTTTTGCCTCAATATGGTCCAGGCTGGAGCCAATAGTTCAGGCCAAGTGAATCATTCTATTTTAGGCTTTCTGTTGTCAACCGAAAAAAAAGGTTTGTATCTTTGAGTTAGATCATTGGAAACTGAATTTCAGATGCTAGTGACTTCATTACTGTCTTTAACCACATCCCCTCTTCTCCGGTCCCAAAAAAGCTTCTTCCTTAAAAAAAGATGAAGTCTTTTTTTTTTAAGGGGAAGGAAATGTATCAGCAATGTTCTCACACCTTTCTGAGTTTTTTTTTTTCTTGTGAGATACTGGCTTGATATACTTTAGGTAACTTAGCTAATATTATAAACAGCAATGCCAACCTAGAATTAAGAGAGCCATTATTTATATTAAAATCTAAACATTTAGAATGTATTAGATCACAAATTTGAAGATACTAACAATTTCAGTTCCCGTCTTAAAGGAGACCTCCTGGAAGAAGAGACTGTAAAGTCTCAATTGGACTCGTCATGTCTAAATAATGGATAAATATTATATTAGTAAATAAATGTAAAAAAAAAAAAAAAAGGTATTGAAAAATTACTGCACCCATGTGTGACTGGCAGTTTCTGAAAGTGTGAAACAACTACGCTGTGTGTGAAATCGTTTTAATGTTATTTTAACAGTAATATACATTTATATGTTAATTAATTTATCACATCTTTAATATGATGTAAGCTGAAACTACTTAAAGTTGGAAAAAAAAACTGAAATATTAAAAAAAAAATTATTTTCATTTCATTTATTTATAAAATAAATTAGCATATTTGAACAGTGTGTAGCGAGCTTGGGAGGTATTTAGGCTTAATATAAAGGATGAAGTGATTGAAAAAAAAGGAAAACATTTAATTAGACATTGCTTTGATTGCAAATTATTTTATTATATTATCTTTTTACCTGAATGTGGTCCAAACTGGAGCCAATAGTTCAGGCCAAGTAAATCATTCTATTTTAAGCTCTCTGTTGTCAACTGCTGTTTCTGTTGTCATAAAAATAATGTTTAGTGTTTAGTTTTAGTTTGCTAATGATCTCATTACTGTCTTTCACCACCCAAACCCCAAAAACACCCCCCAAAAAATGTTCTTCCTTAAGAAAAGATGGTCTCTTTTTTTTAAGTAGAAGGAAATGTATCACAGCCATGCTCTCACATTTCTCAGAATTTTCTTTTACTAGTAAGATACTGGCTTGATATAATATAAGGAACTTAGCTGACATTATAAACAATATTGACAACTAGACTTACAAGATAAAGTGTTAAGAGAGTCATTATTTAAATTAAAATCTAAACGTTTAAGATGTGGTAATTCACATATTGAAAGAATACTAACCTAACCATTTCAGTTCCCTTCGACAAATCAATGAAAACTAAAACTTTCTTCAAAATATCACATGCTTTACAGAAGAATTAAGGACATATACAGGAATAAAGTATATATATATACATATACAGGAATAAAACACCAACTATTCCAGTATATGTTTTAAGCAGCGGATGCCTTTTGAGCCGCAACCCAGTACTGGGAAACATCCATACACTCTCACATTCACACACATACAATACAGCCAATTAGTTTTTTCAATTCATCTATAGCAATTTTTTTTTTTTTGGACTGTGAAAGAAACCGAAGCAACTAGAGGAAACCCACACGACCACGGGAAGAACATGCAAACTCCAAAAAAAAATTGCCAACTGGTCCAGCCAGATCTCGAACCAGCAACCTTCTTGCAAAAGTGCTAACCAATGAGCCACCGTGTCACCTTCAAATGCGATTTCAAATCTGTTTATTTTAATTAACCTGTAAATCTTCTATCACTCTTTTCTCTTAAACTCTATATATAAATCTCAGAATAGGAGGGAGGTTGCAATGGGTGTGAAGACAAGAAGTTTCATACCCTGTAACTGCATAATTTCTAAAATAAGTAGTTCCTTATTTTGAGAAATGCGTCTAGTACAAGAAACACAAACGTTGCCTCATACTGCACTAAAACCATACACAAAAACCAAGCTGAAAAAGCTGAAATCACAACAGTTTGGAGGGAACGGGTCCATTTATGGCAGAGCACAGAGCATTTTCTGTTCCCTCCTCTTGTTTTCATAGCACAGTTCTGATACATTTCATTAGAATGACTCATGAGTTGCAGTGGTGACTGGTTAGGAAGGGCCTGGACTATATTTGGATCCAGAGGCAGTCTGCTTTATTTTTCATTAGGGGAGCTGCACATAAATCCAACACCCTTGTGTTTCCAAAGCACACAGTGTTCAGTTGTTCAGTCCTGCTGATTCTAAAGGGTCCAATCGGAGGACAAAACGTCAGGCTGGGAGAGGGGGATCTTGCCTCAGCTTTAGGATGTTTAGGGCAGGGTGTGAATAACCGCAATAACAGAAGTCTTCACCTCAAGCTATGAGACATCACAGATGATGAGTCCATCCAGTACAACACAAGCCCCGTCTGGCAGAGGATTACTCAAAAATGTCAAAAATCTGTGTCTGTTGAACTCTCACCAAAACAGCTATCACAGTTCAAACAGTGAACGCTTGCATGGTTAGAGATCTTTTAGTTTCACTTGGTTAATTAAGAGAAGTTCAAGTTTTGAACAAGCCCGAAATAAACACTCAGTTCTGCATTTTTTTATTTTTCCACGCATGAGAGATTAATCAAACAGTTCTTTTTTGGTTAATTTTGTGTCATTCATCTAATAAGAAATTATTAGAATAATTGTCGATCTTTTCTAATTATTAAATTAATTAAAAATAATTATTAGCATTCATTTTATTAAGTTTTAAGAATTGTAGGTAACTAAGCCTGTTCACTGAACAAAAATTAAATATACTACCCAAGATTACAGCTATTACCTTTTTTTCCATCTTTCAGCATAATGAAATAATTTATATTTTACTGCTTTTCAGTCTAAATGGATAACAGTTTCATAAACTACTATAAATAATAATAATTATATAAATAATATTTTATTAATATCATAATAACTCATTCCTCTTAAAGGGGCAGTTCGCCCAAAATTTGAATACCTTCATTATTAAATAAAAATTTCACTCTTCATTTGTTCAAAACCTACTCGAGATTTTTTTTTTTTTCTGTTGGACACATAAGAAGCAATTTTGATATGCTGGTTAATGCACCCATTGACTAACATCACCTTTTTGGTAACACTTTACTTGAAGGGGGTTTCTTAAGACTGTTATGAAACATTTGTAATCATGTGAATGAGATTTTATTCATGCTTATGACCAGTGCTGGGGAAAGTTACTTTAGAAATGAATGCATTACAATATTGAGTTATTCCCCAAAATAATAACTTGTTGCGTTACTTATTTACTTTTTTATGGTAAGTGATGCGCAAGTTACTTTTGAGTTAATTTTCTTACCTGGCTGTGGTTTGATCTGATTTGGGGGGGTTCTTCCTATTTTTAAAAAAAGATGACCTCTGCAATTAACAACATACTGTATAACCATCATTTACCTAAAAAAAACAACAAAAAAAACATAAAATTTAATAATGCTGTCTTCAGAGAACTTCCTGACTCTAGAGCTATACATGATGTATATACAGATTTATGAAAGTTTTTTCTTTCATTTCTGAAAAATAATAAGAATATTCCCAAGGCTCTGCCATCTTTCTTTCTGCCTGTTCTTGCATTCTCTCACTGCATGCGGGAGTCAACATGACCACAATTATTTTCATTCAGCAATTTATTATTTTAAAGCAAATGAACTAAACTAAAAAGTAACTCACATGACACGTTTAAAAAAGTAACTCAGATAATATTACTTAATTTTAAAAAGTAATGCATTACTTTAGTCGTATGCATTACTTTATTACTTTACTTGTAATGCGTCACCACCAACACTGTCCATGACAACTGTGTCATTAGCCCAGTTATGTCATCTTAAATGTAAAGATGATATTGCTTGGGATAAATTTGTTCATATAAAATAGTGGTCACACTTTACAGTAAGGTATCATTGGTTAATGTATTTACTAACATTTACTAATACATTATTAAGATCCAATTTTTTTGCAAGTTAACATTAGTTAATGCAACTTGAGTAACATGAACTAACAACGAACAACTGCATTTTCATTAACTGATGTTAACTAACATGGATATATACTGTAATAAATGTATTGTTCATTGTTTGTTCATGTTAGTAATTGCATTAACTAACATTAACTAATACGACTTTATTGTAAAGTGTTAGTCAAGTAGTCATAACAAACAATGTCATCTTTGATTTAAAATGTCATAATTGAGCGAATGACAATTAATAACATTTCATATAAGCTTGCATAAAATTTAACTTACATTCAATGATGTGTGTCATGTTATAACTATAAAGGTTTCATGACGGTCTTATGAAAACCAACTTCATGTAAAGTGTTACCTTATTTTTTCCCCTACTATGGAAGTCAATAGATACCGTCAACCATCATTTTTATTTAAAATATCTTTTATTGTCTTTGTTTAAAACCACATGAGGGAGGGTAAATGTCGAGGCAATTTTCATGGTTAACTACTATATGCCTTTAACTTTAGTTCCTCAGAAAGATTCCATCCAAACTAAAAGCTTGTAGTGGGCACTATGTAAACACAGTGACACATTATCCCCTCCCTCCGCTCAATGACATCACAGAGACGCAGAGTTTATAAACTAACCACAAGAATGCAGTGTGTCAGGCGAAAGAGCTGCGAGCAGACAGAGGCTCTTTCTTATAGAGTTTAGCCCAGGAAAAAGACTCAGAAACAGAGCGACTCGACTCCTCCTCTCCCTCTCACTCTCTCTTACACACACACAGGCTCCAGGTACAGCAGTGAGTGTGTCCTGCGTGACATCCATGCTGAACAGCAGATTGCGTGGCTGAAACCAGGGTTATGTGATGCCCGCAGAGACGTCTGGACTGACCCTGATCAGAGCCGGTAAGGTTTAATGCTTCTGGGCTGAGAAATGATGGATTGCTGGCCTGATGAGCATCTGTTTGTCACATGTGGCATGGCTGAGAAGAGCTAACTCAATTCAGGCCATATGCCCCTGTAACTTCTGAGCTCCTCCGGCATCCTGACTGATGCTCTGCGTAATGGAGAAGCCTGTGGACATGCTGAGAAATATGTCTTTTTCTGATTCTGATCTACAGCACATGTGCATTCTGCGCTGGGACTTGCTCAACTGCGTTCCCAGATCTGACTGATATTGCTGTTGACCTTTTGCAGATTGGTCCTGGCAAAGATGTGGCAGAGCTCATTTTGTTTAGATGGCCGCTTAGAATTTGAAGTCGGAAAAATATATTGGCAAAGTGGGAAGGCAGGAGATACAAATCATTCATGAATATAAACCGGGCAGCGTAAATGAAGGGCAGGTGGAGGCTTATATGGTCGCTTTAAAAGTCCTCCGCTTTTGTAAATATTTCCATAATGGGTCAGGCGTATAAGGCAAGTGTTTGAGCTTAAGACAGATGCTTTAAGTTTTGTTTAGCACCGAGCTTCCAACATGAAACTGAGCATAATAAATCCACAGCTTTCTCGTGCTCGTCCTCTTTCTCGCAGACACATTTTTGTGCCCTGTGGGCCTGTGCTGTATTTAGACAGTGTCCTCTCTTGTGTGAGGTTAATCATGTCCCGGTGTTTGTCTTTGCTAAATGTGTTCAATTTGGTTGTGAGCCTCTGAAACAAAATGACGAGCTAAGCTCCTAACAGATTGGGGTTTTGTGATTCAGGAGCTTTGGTTGAAAATAAAAATATTATAAAAATAATGCAATTTAAGTTGATTAAAGGGATAGTTTTTCCAAAAATAAAAATTCTGTCACCATGTGTTTCAAACCTGTTTGAGTTTGTTGAACACACTATATATACTGAAGAACTGAAGCCATTGACTTCCATAGTCAGTTTTTTTGCTAATATGCACAGAAGTGTTTCTTGCCATACTGATAAACTTTTGCTGAACGGTTAATGTGACTTTTTCCAATTTTATTTATTTATTTTTTTTACACTATCAATGTTATAATGTAGTTAAAATATAATCAGTTAAATAAACTTCTGCATTTGTTTAGTTCAATCATAAAACAAGATGAAAAGCCATTTAAACGCACGTTCCCATCAGCATTATTAGGCTAGCACAGAAACTCCATTGAATATTAGAGTAAAATAAATGTTCATATTTTAAAGACATGACAGGGGAGTATGTAATTTAATGCAGTGCTTCTTGTACATTCTGAGACCCACTTTCTACCGTATATTTATCAGACAGTGAAGATTGCTGATTTTAAAGAAAACAGACCTTAAACTTGCTGATTTTGTAATGGCATACAGTTGCGTTTGACCCAGGTTAGTGAAAAATTCTAAGTCGATCTGCATATACCTTATTAGACCATGTTTAAAAAACTGCTGATATCAAGATGTAGTAATTGGTGTACTGTTTTATTTGTTATGTCATTTATCATGTTTTTAATATTAAATAATTCATTAAACAATGCCCACACTTTTGACAAAGGAATATGGATTAACCCATTTAATTAAATTTTTTGCTAATTAAGCTTAATCGGGTTAAGAGTGTGCTATTAAACGCTTGAGACAGCTGCAAGTTTAGAAAACACATGCAAAAAGAAAAACACTAACAAATTGACAACACACACACACATGCACATTCTCACAAGAAACGCACCACAAAAAGTGCAGACCACAATGAAAGTGTCAGGCAACCCCAAAAAGTGCTAATACACTACCGGTCAAAAGTTTAGCAAAAGTTTAGGGTCAGGGTTTTTTTTTTTTTTGTATTATTATTTTATTTTTTTTATTAATATTAATAAAATTATTCTGTTCATCAACATGGCATTTATTAATTGTAAAAAATAAATTAATTTAGTTTAATTCTTATTTATTAAATATTTATTAATTTCGGATTGTATGTAGTTTCAAATGAAATTCTCCAGTCATTCTTGCTTTTATGACAATAAATAATAATAATATTAACAATCATATTAACAATAACAGTAATAATTAATATTAGAGGGATTTCTGACTCTGAAGACAGAAGCAATGAAAATTCACTGGAATAAATTATTAATTTAAATAATAAACTAGTTTTGAACAGTTATTTTATAGTGCCATAACATTTCACAATTTTACAATTTGTACTAAATTTTGATTAAATAAATGCAGCCTGGGTGAGCAGGAGGAGCTTATTTTAAAACATTTAAAATTCAGACTGTCCCAAACATTTGACCAGTAGTTTGGACTGTGTCTTTGGACTGTGGTGAAACCTGAAGGAAACCCATGCAAACATGCAATCTCCACGCAGAAATGCCAACTGGCCCAGCTGGGACTCGATTAGGTGACCTTCTTGCTGTGAGGCGACAGTGTTAACCACTGCCTTTTACTGAATCATCATTTTTGAATGAATTGTTCCTGTCTATACATTTTTTATAACATGCTAATCAACACCTACTACCGTAACAATGTAAATTTTCTACATTTGAAGCTGCAAGTTATACCATATTCATACTAGATGCCATATGGTGTCAAGGTGATTTGAAAATGACAGCTGTCAGAAAGCAAGAATCAGTTGCTTTATCTGGTATAATGTATTTAAATGGGGGACAAATGACTCCCTGTCTGAGATGATTCACAACATCCTGACAGAAACAGGATGTTTGCTAGCATGTCAGTCACTAGTTCTACCTTACACATGCATCACTGTAAATGGCGATTGAGAATTGATCAGGAAGCATATTTTAATCATGAAACATAAAAAAGAAATAAATAAAATGAGGGCCAAAATAACATAATCTGACACGGTGACTAAGAATATTTTGCAGTTTGAACCTGACATTACTTCAAAAGCACTAGTTTAATTCCTACCATAGAAACAGTAGAGTAATTCTGTGTCAGAAAAGAAAGACAGAAATAATTATCATTGTGGTTGAAAAGGCCGAAGCTGTTTCATAACTCTACTTGACATCTTCTCTCCTCAGATCAGTGGCTTGTCAAGAGTTTAAGATCCTCTAATGATTAATTGTTCAGCTCTAAGAGCATTTCTGCAGCGATGCCATAGAAGAACCATTTTGGGTTCCCCAAAGAGTCTTTCAATGAACATTTTGTTCACTCATTTATTCATTCATTCATTCATTCATTTTCCTTCTGCTTAGTCTCTTTATTCATCAGGGGTCTCCACAGTGGAATGAACCGCTAACTTATTCAGAATATGTTTTACACAGTGGATTCCCTTCCAGCTGCAACCTAGTACCGAGAAACCCCATAAACATTCATATTCACACATATGCACTACAGACAGTTTAGTTTATTTAATTCACCGATAGCATATGCCTTTGGACTGGGGACGAGACTGTGGACCATGTGAACGGGGAGAACTTGCAAACAGAAATGCCAACTGACACAGCCAGTACTTGGACCAGCGACCTTCTTACTGTGAGGTGACAGTGCTAACCACTGAGTCACCATGTCGCCCAATAAACATTTCATAAAAGATTTCATTTATTTTTTTTGTTTCAAAGAACATGAATGATCTACGAAGCATGATGAAGCTTTTGTCCAATGGAAAAGTTAAATGTTGTCCGTGGAATCAGATTTAAATGAGTGTGGTTCAATCTAACAGCCTCTTGAAAACATTGGGAGGAATTTGATTCGATGTGTACAGCAGCATGTCTTTGCATGTAACCGATGTTGTCAGTGATATCGGGAGCTCCATCCTGGCTTTGTGTGTAGCAGAGCGAGTCTTCCTGTTTAACATTCCTCTGTGGATCTGAGAATTACTTAAAGTGATTGTTCTTCTTCAGAAGGCTCGTGCTGAGGAGGTGAAGGATAAGAGTGAAAACGTAGAGCCGAGCACTCTTTAAATCTTACGCAAGCTTGCAGCTAAAACTTCAAAATAGGAAACACGATATGAAGCCTTTCAGCACAAAGCGACTGTGAGATTTTTTTGAAATCGTCTGCTTTTGAGAAGAGAGCTGCCTCTTTGTACAGAGGTGTTTCTCGTATTTAAGAAATTCTGCTGCACCAACAGATTTCCTGTTGTGAAAGTGTATGCAGGAAGCAGGCCAAACACATCACACATATGAATCATGCAGACAAAACAACATGCTGAGGCTTCAGAAAGTCTGTTCAACAACAATAAGGAAACAGTTTATTTGGTTTGATCAGTGTCTTGGTTAATTTGTGAATTAAAAGATTACATCTCCATTTTAAATTGTTAGTTAGATATGATATTTTGTGATATGTTGCTTCATGCGTTTATTCAGACTTAATACATTTAAGTGTCACATATTACATGTTATCTTTCACTTTCAGTCTACATATAATGCATCTATTTTCAAGGCTGTTTTCTCAAATTGCTTTTTTTCATGTGCACTGAGCCACAGATTTCCATTTCAGCAGCATTTACACACACACACACACACACACACACACACACACACACACACACACACTCACACTCACACCAGACTTTACGGTTTTATTGTATTCTGACACAGTGCTTTCTTTGTAAATCAGAGCTGCACTTAAGCCCGAAATTATTCATATTATATTATCCAATATATAATATTCATATAATCAAAATCATAATTCCGGCTTCACTGTATATCAATTTATTTCATTTTATTTATTTATTGTGATTTTGCAATGCAGAGTGTTAAAAAGAGATATTCAAAAACCTCTCTCTAACTACATTTAACGTGTATGTATTAACAAGACTATGTATGCAGCATGATATTGCATACACTGATAAAAATGATTCATTGGACTTACTAAATTTAAAGGTACAGTGAGTGATAGCAAACAATTTATATGGACTGGCTTTTAAACAGATTTAGTTGCACATTAGTAAATTCAATTTGTTTGTTTTAAATCAAGCCCATATAAATTGTTTGCAATCACTTACCCTAAACTTTAGTAAATCCAATGAATAATTTTTTTTAGTGTACAGTTGAAGTCAGAATTATAAGCCCCCCTTCAAATTTTTTTTAGAAGTGTCTTAAAAAATATCTAGTCAAATATTATTTACTGTCATCATGGCAAAGATAAAATAAATCAGTAATTAGAGATGAGATATTAAAACTATTATGTTTAGAAATGTGCTGAAAACATCTTTTCTCTGTTAAACTGAAATTGGGGAAAAAAATAAACAGGGAGGCTAATAATTTAGGGGGATAATAATTATGACTTCAACTGTATGTATTCAGAATAAGAGTCATTGGTGTATTAAAACAAAATACTTATATTAAAACATAATTTCTATAGTTTTAAACCTAAAGAAATCCAAACTTCATTATTAAGCTTTGAAACTGTCATGAATTTGTTTCGAAAGATGATTAAGAGCTTGTAATAAAACTCACAAAGTCATACAATTAACAACCAAAAGCTTTTTTTTGTTATATCACATTTAACATTAGTTTCAGAGCAGTTTCTAATGTTTAAAGTTTTACAGATGTTCTTAATTCAAGGAATTTTATTACATAATTAATTGATCCTAACTGGCTTAGTTGGCAAAGCATTGTTTAATAGCACAAAAAAAGCTTGCATTTTAATAAAAGAGCAACATTTTTACAGCATCTTTATATTTATTGGCATTTAATGAGTTTAATCTGACTGAATTTAAAACTTAAAGAACAAAAATGAACTTTATTGCATTCACAACATTACACTTCTGTTGTTTGTCAGCTGTTATCTGGAATCTGTCACAGTGTATCTTTTTATCATTGCGGTATGTGTTTTGACATCTGTGTGTTTCTAGATGACTATACCAGTTCCTCTGTTCATTAAAATGATGTATTTTCTCTTGTTTTATAATGTATATTCATCTTTTAATCTTTATTATATTGATAACGACAGGACAAATGAACAGATAATAATGGTGATAATTTAGGGCTGATAGTTGTTTTTGTTTTTTAATTACATTGTGGTGACTTCTAATTAATAGAAAATTATTTATAAATTAAAATAATTGCAAGCTAAATTTGCATAAGAAATTACCCTAGGGGTCATGTTAAATGCAAAAAGCATCATTTACAAAAAGTAGCTTTAGAAATAAATTATTAATTTGATTCAATATAGACTTGATTTCAAACATAATCTTTGTAGACAAAATTTAGTGCAGATGTATTTACAGAATAGTAACTATATATTGTCCTTAACAATATCTTTAATGGTACACAAAAGAATGACATCCATAAAACATAAATAAAGGATTCTCTAGAATAGATTAATAATGTATAACAATGCTGAAAAAGACTGAAAAAAATATATAATATGCTTTATTTTATTGGACTTTTATAGAGCGCAAAAAAGGTATTCAGGCCCACCTGGTTAAAGAGGTGGTTCTTTTTTCTCCAAAAATGTAACCTTTTTACAGTCATTCGCCTCATTTTCTATTTAACTATGAAGTCCAGTATTTATAGTTTAAATAGCTACTGCATTTTAGTGACATTTTAAGAACTATTTATTTCTGGATTAGTTTGTCGGGTAGTTATCATAACCACACTTTTTAATGAAGGCTACCAAAACATTTCAGAAAAATTTAGAATAAAGGTATATGACAAGTATTATTTCAACACTTTATTTTTATCATATATCGTTAGGAAAAAATGAATCTATTAAGGAATCTGCTTTTTAAGGCTAAGTAACCTATTGTCATTTATAAATTAAATAACAAACTGGCCAGCACATTCAACTTTCCTCAGTCAGAATTTGGCCAATTGAATAATAAAAACATTAAACATAATAATAATAATAATAATAATAATAATAATAATAATAATAATAATGTTGTAGAGCTTCCCAAATTTTCTAGCCTTTTTTGTAAAAAAGTACATTTGAAAATTCATGAATAACAACAAAAGCCTAATTAGTATTAAAATAACCTTTGCTTTATATGTAAAATGCTTTACATTTTACTTTGGTGCTTTACACCTTTTCATTTTTTCTTCAAAGACAGAGGTCCAAGATTTAGAATAAAAGTCTCCATTTAAAAACAATACAGTAGGTCAGTAGTGAAAGAGAACTTCACTCACATCAGAAGTCTTAAAACCTTCTTCGATAACCTATTTTCAACATTTATAATGGCAAAGCAGTCAAAATAGCATGAATGAGCTCATGCAAAGACAAATACTGGACCTTTGTCAGTAGAGGGTGGGTCTTTCGAACCACCCCAACCCCCCCTGGCTACGGGCCTGGAATTAATATGTAAATATTCAACACAAAATGATTTTTAAATCGAGTTTACATACATAAAACTTAATATATATCTTGACCATTCATTTGAAGATTGATTTTAGACCTGCTTTGACTGGTTTATCTGTGCATTCATGATTCCAGCATGTCCTGCAACATTGATGTGAGTCTAAATACACAAGAGACATGAAGTCACTGGAGAATCTATAGCTGACTTAACTTCTGCTCTTTCTCTCTTTCTCTCTCTCTCTCTCTCTCTCTCTCTCTCTCTCTCTCTCTCTCTCTCTCTCTCTCCAGAAATGCCCTCATTCCATCACATCTGCGAGAGTCAGCGCAGCAGAGACTAAAATAGAGTTGGATTCTCCAGAGGGTCTGAAGCTGAGAGGAATCCACCCAGCATAAACACGACCCACCATCCTCAATCCTCACCAGATATCAATCGTCAGAAGTCCAAGAGAAACGGTTTACGAGCGATGCTTTGTTGTCAGAGCCCAAAGGCAAGGCGTTTCATGAGATGAACACTGTAGTTTGGGATTAAAGCAATAACCGTGCGTACATGAGGATCCATCATACTACAACCAACTTGTGTGATATTTCTTCAAGATGGGACCTTCTGTGATGTCAGGAAACATTCAACAGGCCTGAATTACACTTAAACCGGACACTTTCTTGATCCTCAGATAATAATCTATGCTAATTACTGCTTTAATCAGATCTACGGTGGCTTTACATCTTAGAACGCATTGGATTTGATCTGGGAAGAACTCCCGCTCAACCATGAAGGAGGCGATCCTGCAGTTTCTGAATGATGTATGGAGCGTGGCTTCGGTCAAGCATGAGCAGGGTGTCTACAACACGGTTTGTCTTGTTGTTCTTCTGACTCTGCCGCTGGTTGTGCTCTTCACATCCGTGCTGGTCTGCTGTCACTGTTGTTGCTGTCGTAATGCTGGAGGATGCCGCTGCTGTGGACAGAAGGGTGAGACCTCGGTCACAAATGTGAAATCTGAAAAGAAGAAGAAAAAGAAAAACGGCGGCCAGAACAGCGAGGACTTGTGGATCTCTGTCAAAGCAGATCCCATGAGTAGTGACAGACTGGCACTCACTATGGTGTAACGTGTTGAGCAGTTTTCTATTTATTTATCCTTGTGGTACAAGTAAAGGTACAAATGTGGGTTTACTGAAATGTGCCTGAATGTAATAACTGTAGAGAGACGAAGTTCTGAAGTGAATGAATGCGTGGGAATATGCTGTATGATGTGTGTTTGGTCAATGAAAGGTTTTCACAGTCCATGTTTGGTAAAAAGAAATACATATACAGTATGTGCAATACATAAGGCCTTTATTGCTGGCGTTTAACACATCATGACTAAACAAAGGTGGCCAGTTTGATCATGTAAAAACCATGCCTTAGACTTATGGTTTCGGTTTGACTGGTTGACAATAGGGCTTGGCGATTTGGCCTTAAATCAAAATCTTGATTAATTGAACATGTTTAACTCGATTACAATTAATGAGCAATTATTTTTGGCTATAAATTTTTTTTTTCGCCCTCTCCGCATGACCTACACTCGTCAATGCTACCAAGCTGACCAAACGAAGAGCTTGCGCTATACGTTGTCGTGACATGTAGTTAAACGCGGCGTCAGTCACGTGAGGGGTACGCGCAGAATTGCCACACATGGTAGGGATAATAATTTTAAAAATTGTCCTTTAAAAATTTGATTGATTATAAGTTGTGTATGTCGTTTTCAATTACTTTTCGATTAATCGTCCAGCCCTATTTGACAATGAAATTGGCCCTTTTGTTCATGTGACCACATCTGTTCATTAACAGTTTTCCATTTATTTATGGTTGTGAATTGCATGATGGGACCTTTATCTCTGCTATGTCAACTTTTGATGTTGAAAATTCAACTCTACAGTTTAACAAAGGGACTTTCCCAGCAGGCACACAACATCATAAGACGTTAATATTAGGTTCGATTCAGGTCATGATGTGAGGTGACCAAAATTCAATGTCTAGCCAGCATCTAAGTACAATGTTATTTTGACGTCCAAAAATAGAGTCAAACTACCTTGATATTTGGTTTATTTTACAATGTGTTGGAAAGTGACCAAAATCCAACATCTGATAGACGTCATAGTGGTAACGTCTACACAACGTCACCGTGTAACATGATTAGACGTTGATATTTGGTTGATTTTAGGTTGGACCTTGGACCTTGGTTCTGATGTCAACCATATTTTCATTTCCAAACAAAATCCAACATCCCTATGACAATGGGGTACAATGTCACTATGAAGTCATGGTGATGTCCTGTGCCTGCAGGGTTTTATCAACATTTTAGTAGTCTGAAATATAAAGTATAAGAAATAATGTATAGACAAATAAGTCTGTAAAATAACGTACTGGCAGTTTATTACACAGGTTTTGTAGCGTAATATACAACACCAACCCAGACAATATATAAATTTAAACTATTAAAATGTTAATAAAAGTCTCTTTTTGGAACTTTTCAAGGTTAAAAGTCATTGGAGGAAAGATCAATGTTCCATATTGCAATTCAAAAGCATAAACAAGCAGGGAAAAATAAAATTTATAAAATCATCGACTACTAAATATGAAAAACTGCTAATTTACAGATATTTTTAGTGTGTAGGGCTGTTGAAGCTACAGTAAACATGACTTGGTGGTGCTAAAGCAAAAAACTCTCTAGCTGAGCACATATTATTAATGAGCAAGAAGATTCACTGAGCCAAGATTGCTGCATCTCAATTCGCATACTTTAAGAGTTCACACTTTTTGATATTGATTGACAAATGTTAGCAGGTTTGGCATGCTATCCTGGGAGAGAACCTTAAGCTCGGAGATAGTTGAGCACAGGGCTCCCGCCTGGTCAGTAGAGCATGTAAGGGAAGTACGAGATCAGGTGGTTCTCGAAAGCTCCCCGTGGTAAAGAAGGAAAGGAGGAGAATGGGTGGATGGGGGGTTTCTTCTGAAAACGAAGGTTAGGGAGTATTTCTAGCTAGACTACTTAAAGTGAGTTTGGATTAATCTGATTGGCTGTAGATGGGTGACCAGCTCCAGTCAATCATGTCACATGCTCCTCTCAAACTTAGTTTGAAAAACTTCACTTGTATAACTTCACATATAAGCCCTAAAAATGTTACTTTTTTGTAAAGGGAAAATATATACTTTTGAGTGTGTAACAATAGAGTATGAACACTTTGGGACACACTGCTTTCTCATTAACAGATCATCGTGTTGCTTAGTTATGACCCCTAGCTGTCATATTTCATTTGCTACCTTATTGGAAAAGCAGCAGCAGGATAATCTGCAATTCACCAGTCTTTCATGCTGAGAAATCTCCTCAGGTGTTTGTATAATTATGCATTCAGACATTAAAATCCAAACATGTCTTTGTATAAGCTCAGTATTGTTGTTGCAGATGAAATATAACACAGAAAACACAATATTTTCCAGTGGGCTAGATAATAATTAACAGTCATACAAACAACTTTACCAAAGCATCTCTACTTGGTCTTGCGTGTCCGCCATGTTTGCAGTTTATTTACACTTTTCACATGTTGTAGTTCTAATCGAATTCAAGTCCAACGTGCAATGTACTGTGGGCAATATCAGCGGTTAGAGTATGAACGGTTCTACACTTAAACTTTTTCTGGAAATAGTCAACAATCCAGCAACATTTAACGTACACCTTTCAACATACTACGATTTGGGACATGCTATTTTATTTACAAATACTATTTAGGAAGGATAGTATGTGAATTGGGATGCAGCAGATGATTGTGGAGCTGCTTGTTCACACAAAGAGCTGTATGATAAACGTGACAGTGATTATAAAAATGCAGACAGTTCTTCATTGCTGGTGCTAAAGTGAACTATTAATGATTTACTTGCCAGTAAACAAATACCATGTGAGTAGATTTAACCAGCACATAAACACAGCCTCTTTCTTCTGTGTAACAAGCAAGTGTCAGAAGTTTAAAGTTGCACAGCGCCACTTGTGTAAAGGAGTATTCTTTATTTTTATTAAGCATCATCTAATATCAGGGAGTCATTTTGTACTTTCACTTTGTTCATCCCTAGTGATAAACATCTGAGTTGACAATGTGCACGAGCAAAAATTAATGTGTGCATGAGCCTTTACCTGTGGTTCTCAGTTCTGGTCCTTGGGCCCCCCTGGCCTGCACATTTTGTATGTTTTTCTTATTTGACACACAAGGATCAGTTCATGAATCTCTCTATTAACAAGCTCGTGATCTGAATCAGGTGTTTTAAGTAAGGAAGACATACAAAATGTGCCGCTCGGGGGGGCCTGAGGAATTGAGAACCACTGGCCTATATAGCCATGGCAAAAACTTTGATTTAAGAGGACATTTACACAAAATGCTTTTTTTATTTCAAAATTTGAAGTCAATATGCCTCTCTTTTTTATAAAAACATCAAATTTTCAAAATGACTTTTAAATAGCATTTCCTCATATTTTTATTCATTCCACTGACCTGTGTCTTGCAATATTAGCACTAAACCATTGCATGTTTATATGGTAAACAGTCTTCCAGTACAAGGATTTTTAATGCCAGCTTGAGAAGACACATTATGAACTAGAATTTATTGTTCAACAGCATAATCTGAAATGAAGTCTGAAGCTGGCATTACTGTCCACATTTGTGTGTTCCAGCCAGTCTAGGTGTTAGTGGTTTTAGTGACTCATTTGGCAGGTTACACTGAAAGCTTTGTAGATTGCAAGATATGGCTTCATGAGTATTTATAGATGAGTCTTCAATGATTTATTCAAGATTTTTCAAATTCATTCAGAAGTGAAACCTTTCTATGATTAACTTTTCACATTTGCATTACACAATCAGGGTGACATCATGGCTGAATGGTTAGCACTGTTGCCTCACAGTAAGAAGGTCACTGGTTCGAGTCCTGACTAGGCCAGTTGGCATTTCTGTGTGGAGTTTGTATGTTCTCCCGTGTTGGCGTGGTTTTCCTCCGGGTGCTCTGGTTTCTCCCACAGCTTAAAGACATGCACTATAGGTGAATTAAATAAACTAAATGGGCAGAAGTGTATGTGTGTGATTGTGAGAGCGTATGGATGTTTCCCAGTACTGGGTTGTAGCTGGAAGGGCATCCGCTGTGTAAATCATATGCTGGATAAGTTGGTGGTTCATTCTGCTGTGGTGACCCCTGATGAATAAAGGGATTTAGTAAGTAAAGTAACCAAAATCGAACGTCAAGCCAACATTTTAAACCAAGGGCACACTGTAAAAGAAATCTGTTACTTTCCATTTTACAAAACGTAAAATACCAGACGTTAAATTACAGAAATTGCCTTAAATTTAAGTTTACGGCAAATTTCTGTAATTTACCATCTGTTATTTTACAGTAAATGTTTGTAATTTGCCGGTCGTTATTTTACGTTTTTTCCAGCACCTCAGCTGCCGGAAAAAATAACAGATTTTTTTTCAAAAATAACTGTCATAGTGGTAACACCTACACAATGTCAAGGTGTAACATCAGATGTTGATATTTGGTTGACTTTAGGACGTCAGCCTGACGTTGGATTCTGACTTCGACCCGATTTTTATTTCCAAACAAAATGCAACATCCCCACGACATCGGGGTACAACATCAATCTGATGTTATGTTGACAGCCTGTGCTGGGAAATGACCACAGCTGTCTGCTTCTAGAGAAGATGACCCCATCACCATAAGCAGAATAATTGACTCCAAGTAGTTGAATTATTCAAAAGCAATGCACACCCAAACCATATCTCAAAGCAAAGTCCAGTATAAACATTACTGTTGTTTGTCAATGGCAGCTGTCACAGGCTTGACCATCCTATTTAACAATGTTCAGTTTTTACTTTGTAGACTTCGAAGACGATGCAGTTTGCAGCCTCTGAATTTAGACATGTAAGTTGAACTTCTTCCATATTAAAATCCTGTTTATAAGAGCTGCAAACATGTACCTGCAATATTTGAAACAAATGTGTGATGCTCGATTTACATTTCTAATCCGCTCAGATGTCAAAAACGTGTCAGATTTGTAAAGATGCTTGTAAAAGCTCCTCTTAAATTAAATAGAAAAGAAAAAAAAGCACGCTGTGTTATACAAACGTCAAACTGATGCACTCAGTGGGTCACAGCCACTTGTCCTTCACTCCAATGCATTTAAAATGAGTTGCTTTAAATGGCTGGAGAAATTTTCCTTCAAAAGTTTCTCTTTAAATGTATGCTCTTCTTCCTGCCATGATCTGACTGACATAAGCATTATTTACAGGGAGACTGTGTTGGATTTGAGGCTGATAAGGATGGGTTTACTAGAGAGTAGTGCAACAACTCAGTGACACTTGTCTTATAATCTCCTCCAATGCATTGAGAATGATTATACTGAGCTCAAACACACCATTATGATCAGGGTTGTGTGTAATTGGGCTAGCTGATAAACAAACTTTGATCTTTTTTTGCACTTATGCACTTATGATATGTTTGCTGTGCCGTAATTAGATGTTTATGTGGGTACTTCAACACTTTCTGATTATGCATGTCAGAAAGTCGTGCATTAACTCTCGTCTTGCTCTTTTTTTCTCTCTTAAACTGTTGTGTTTGACTGCAATGCATTTCCATATTTCTGGTAAAGCAAAGCGCTGAATTATTCATTGCGTAATCAGTGAGGTTGGATCACACTTGCCCTTCATTGATTCGGGTTTCTGTTACAGCAGGATCAAAGGAGAACATTTTTCATTTGTTTGAACAATGAAGCTGTCGAGTTCTGTTTCGTCTGCTTTTGTTCAACAGAAGTGACAGCAAAGCTTTGATCAGCCCTGTTCTGCATGAAAATGACTGTCAGTTTGTGCGAATATGCTGAAGAAGCATTTTCCTACTCAAAGTCTGTTGCTATGCAGATTGATGC